TTTTTTTTGGAGAGGTTTTTGCTATAGTGGGCTCACCAGAAAGAGAGAAACAGAGACAGAAAGCAAGAACTCACCCCCCAGGGGAGAGGGCCACAGCCCAATCCCTTCTCCTCTATTCTCCTCTCAGGACCTTGGGCATGCACACACACACACCCGATGTGAGTTTAAGGCACTGGGTCCGGGACTCGAACCATAGTCGACTACATGGGAGTCCAGCGACATATCCATTACACTAACTGGTGGTCCCTGATAGCAAATTTTTAAAAAAGATAATAATAAATAAAATTCAATAAATAATAGTTTCAAAAAAAGAAAAAAGCTACTGGAAACCGTTGGCTAAGGAGTTTAGACTTTGTTTTGTAGGACACTTGTTCTTTTTCATGAACTTTAACATGCCTATGAATCATGGCAGATCTTGTTAAAAATAGAGGTTGTGTTTCATTAGGCTTGAAGTCGCTGCCAAGATTATGCATTTCTAATATATTTTTTAAATTTTTGCCAGAGGGTACATGCACTTATGTGTGTGTGTGTGAGAGAGAGAGAGAGAGAGAGAAGAGAGCGAGAAAGGGAAAGTAAGAAAGCACTCCCCATGGGTCATGGTCACACTGCAATACCTTCCTCTCGGTCTCCTTCCTTTGGGGAATTTGGCATGCACACAGGGTAGACGTGTTTCCAAGCCTTCAAGTCCAGTTTCTTCAACCATGTAATCAACCATGTGGGGTCCAGCCACAGCTGGCCCCTGCGTTTCGATCAGGTTCCTGGTTGATGACAATGGTATTGGTTCAGAAAACGTTCAATAGCAAGGCTGTAGGAGAAGCCAAAAAAATATATCTTCAAGGAGGTGTATGGCTTAGAAAATAAGCAAAATGGTCAAAGCTGACAACTTTATGAAAACCTGCAGTCACTCAATATTCTGGAAAGCCTATCAAGTATTATTTACTCTACTTAATAACATGCAGCATTTGAAAAGCAGATGCCGTACATAGAGCATCTCCATCAGCCTTCCCTTACACAAGGGCTGTGCCCTTTATAGACTCTTGGTAATAATCTTAGCTCTTCTTTCTCCTCTGATCCACCCTCCAGCCCCCACCCCACTGTATTCTGTCAGTAAAGCCTATCTCTTTATTTTTATT